GATATCCCTCCCAAAAAGACGATGTCGGGAAATTCGATGTCACATCCCACAATACACAGATCATAGCTTCTTCTCGAGTTTCTTAAAAAGCCTGCCCACCCCTTTCTCAATCCCAGACTGCTTCTGCTGCAATTGCTGTTTATGATACTGCTTCATACCCTCAGCTTCCGTTGGCCGATAAACCTGATTATGCACATCGTATACATTTCCACCGGGTGCTTGGTGCTGTTGCTGTTGCTGTTGTGGATGGCCATATGAGTAGTTCGAATAACCACCAATGGGTGGCCGGGGAGGCGGAGGAGCCTGACCGCCATGTTGGTATTCCTGGTAGTTGCCCTGGTATTGTTGCGGAGCTGCGTTGTGCGGACCGGACACGGGCGGTGGCCCAAAACTCTGCTGTCTAAACAGATGGGCATTCGGGTCTTGCGGGGACTGTGCATATGGTGCTGTGGCAGGTGCTTGAGAGGTGGTAGGAGGAGGCCCGAAGGATAGGCTTCCAGACGGGTTATGGCCAGACGAATGTGAGGATATGGACGGGTTGTGGTTCAGGCCAGCCGACGGCGGGGGAGATCCATACTGTCCTCCATATCCTGGGGCTTGGCCAGGCGGGAGAGGTGCAAATCCGCCAGCCATGGGTGGAGGGGGAGGAGCGAAGGCTTGGCCTTGATCTGAAACAGCAGCAGCAGCAAGCCCTGTCCCAGTTGCTGCATCTGGTGGCGGTGGCGTTTTTTCACGGTGTTTGATGGGCTCCGGGGCAGCGGGAGCGGAAGGGTTATATGCTAGGGGCGCGTAGTTGACTTGCTGTTCCTGCGGTTTGGAAGCCGGTGGTGCAGCCTGTTCTTCCAAGGGACTAACAGGTTCCGATGGTGCTGCTGTCTGAGTTGGCGGAGGCGCAAAACTTGGGACTGCCTGCTGAGGGGCAGGGTGTTGTAGTGGAGGCGGATTAGTTCGGGAATTCCTAGTCTGGCCGTTGTGGTAAGCAGGATCCGTAATCGCAACATTTTCCAGCTGCTGTACCACGGAGCTCATCCCGGCTTCATAGGGTTGTTGGGGGGATCCGATTATCTCTAGCTGCGTGGAAGCCAAAATCTTCTGCGCAGCATTGAGAAATTGCGCGGCATCATTCGAAGCCCAAAAATATAAATCCAAGGTATGGAGTCGAAGGAGTGCCTGGCTTCCATCGCGGGGGTCAATATTGGCCAGCCGCCATTCATTCTGATCAGCACTAGGCGGAGGAGTTGAACCGTGTGGACGGGCATCGACGGTTACGGTAAAGAGCGTGGGAAATTTGTCGGAATTGCGTAGGCTAATCGTGGACAAAGCTACCCCCGTCGCTAGTATCAGTATCAACCATTTGGTGCCGGAGTAGTTAATCTGGACATACATCCATAAAAGGCGTCCTGTTCAGCGGTTCCCGGGTTGTTTGCAATCTCGATTCTCGCCTTGTTCTGAGCAGCATCATGGTAGATATAGAAGTAGGAGCCCTTGTCAAAGCGATGGTGCAGGGTGCGCGGAGAAGGCGGGGAAAAGTAATAGTGCACGTCAACGAACCTGAGGGAGATCAGTCAGAACCATGAACGTATGAGAAGCATACCACATCAGCTTACACAGTGAGTAAACGTTCTTCACCGGGAAGAGGAGGCATTTCAATGAGATGGACCAAGCCAATATACTTCAAGTTTTACGCAAGCGATGAAGGAGGGGACGGAATACGAGACAGACGCTCTGGACGCGAGACAGACAAGAAAACAGAAAGAGAGGAAGTCAAATAACGAGAACAGAGGGGTATCAAGAGAGTCCTGGAGGGATTCACAGCTAGCCGCCGGCCATCACAGCCCCCGCCAACTCGCCAATGCCAGGCTGACGCCCAGAGATGAAGCTGAACCCCGCGCTTAAAAGTTGCAGCGAGCCCGACCAGTGAGAGACGAGGATCCGACGACCAGGCCTGATTGGCTGGCGAGAAATGCCAAGGCGTAGTCAGGTGATGTATCTTGGTCACGTGATTCTGTGGTCACGTGTGATGGACCGCATCGCAAATTTATCGACGAATTGGCTATCCCGAGATCCCCGTCGACGTTGATGTTGAGCATACCAACAAACCACGATACCCAATCCATTCCTCCTGCTATTCTCGATATTCTCCTATAGGTGAGCATTCTGCACCTGTCAATCCCACGCTCCAAGTCCAATTGCGTCCAGCCAAAGCTAACCAATTCCCCGTTGCTCCGTTCAAGCCGCAGACAAAAAAGTATAGCTCGCCTGTCTGCGTCAAAACCCTCTCCGAACCCAGGGCCACAGCCTCCCTGCCAATCCTCTTCCATCTCGCTATCTCCAGAATAGCATAAACACCACCGCCCAACATGTCTCTCGTTAACCTCGCCCACATGTGCTCGGCGATAACCAACGCCTCCAAGGCCCGCCTCTCCACAATGTCCGTCGTCAACACGAAAATGCACCTGCGTCTCGCCATCGCCCTCCGCGACGCCGGCCTAGTGTCCTCCGTTGTCATCGGCGGCAAGCTCCCACCACCCCCCCACATCCTCCTCCGAACCCCCGCCGTCAACGACGAAGTCGAGCCCCTCGAGCCCATCACAAAAGAAAACATCAGCTCGCGCCGCATCTGGCTCGGCCTGAAGTACTGGCAGAGCGAGCCGGTCATTACCAAGATGTCACTTATCAGCAAACCCACGAGAAGGTTGACGTTGAACGTACCAGAGCTGCGGTCGATTGTTCGGGGGCAGAAACAGAATACGATCGAAGGTCTGCGGTCGCCGGGGGAGTGTATGTTCTTGACAACTAGCCAGGGGATAATGGAGGCCAGGGATTGTGTGGAGAAGATGACTGGTGGCGTGCCATTGTGTAGGGTTTTATGATGACGGGTCTTCTTGTTTTTTTTTTTTTCGTTTCGTGTGGCATTTTGGAATGGAGTTCTTTTTTTCTTGTTAGTTTTTCCCTGTGATGTTTGACTACCTCTACAGCAGATGTGCGGATTTGTCCTCGGATGGTCAATGCTTCGTATGGCTGCCGTCTGCTCGTTTGTATGTATATGTATATTAGCAGCCCGATTTCAATGTTCTATATCTCTCCGGTGAATAGATGAAATGTCTGAGGATGAGGTTTTGGTCCACGGAGTTGGAAGTCGCTGTCCATTCGATTAGCATTGCCCGACGTAGATGAGATATACCGTCTCCCCAGAGCAACTACTCTTTAAATATGTGGACTTGCCTCCATTTAGCTCAATTCAGCTGCACTTTTGGCTACCTCACAACCTACAGACTACCCCCCAAGAGCGGTTATGTCTCCAATGAACCAGCGATTCGACACACCGCAGACATACGCACAATATCTCTTATAATTCCAAAAAAAAACCTGTCCAAACCTGCTAATTAAACCTTCAAAAAAAATAAGGGGAAGCAAAAAAGGAAAAGAAACGGTACTGTAAAGAATACCGCAAAAAAAACATATTTTAAACTCAGGGTCTTGCCGCGACTCGAACGCGGGGCCTCTCGCAAACAATGCTTTAGGGTGAACCCTAAGCGAGAATCATACCACTAGACCACAAGACCTGATTTGATGGTAGATGAAGGGGGGCTTGGCTTTATGAATGATAATGGTTTTTAAAGGCTGAGAAGGAAGGCCATCGTCCAATGATATCATTACCGAATTGGAAAAGGATAGGGGGGAAGCCATTTGTATATTGTGTGGGACACCTTACTATCCACGGCCGTTCTAGAATGATACGGCAAAGATGTAACAAGGGAGTTAGTTCAGTACGAGTGTGTGACGGTGCTGTGCCATGCCATGGAATTTTGTGTCTCTGGGAGTACGGAGTACATTGTTAGATCATTGTTCATCGGTAACTAGATAGATATGCAAGTCCAAGGGATGGAGTTTGGATACTATATTTTTGTATAGAGAACTAGTAGTAATTTCATTTGAGCGGCGCATGGCCCGGGTCTTTTACTCGATATTTTTGGACATGCAGGCCGCTACCACCAAACTTGAGGAAATGGTATTACTTTGCCGGATTCGGATATTTAATGAGTCCTTTTTCTCTATCATTGCGATGCCATGTTGGTTACTGGTGGACATGAGGAGTAGTACATATCAGACCCAGTTCATGCAGGTTATCTCGGTTGGAAATTCCACATGACCAAGGGCCATGACAGGCAGACGTGGTGCGGCGCATACCAAGGTGCCGCGAATGATGTATGAGATCTGCTGGTATATAATTTTACATGGCGTAGTCACATAGAGTTTTCCAGGAAGGTGTTTCAATGCTCATCAGCTACTATGCTTGGTCCCTACTAATGCTCGCCACGGTTGTATCGGAGCTGGAGGAGAAGAGGGGTAGGAGTTTGTCAGGGTAGATGACTCAGATGAGGGATGATGGAAGGGGGGAGAGAATTAGCTGATATTGATAGATCTCTAGTCCTGGGGCTCTAGGAAGCCTAAATTAACAAAATTTCAATGTGGGTTGATGGGATGGCAGATTGCTGGTTTCCGGGCTCCATGGCTGTAAATATATATTTCCGCATTGTTTCGAACATCGAGGACAGATAGTTAGACAAAATCACCACGCAGGGCCATAGGATCATTATATCATTTACACCACCCATCACCTCTGAGATCGCCTCTTCTTTCAATAATGATTTATATCCGCAAGCCGGTACTGCCGTACTAAAACTGTCATCAACCCCCCCCTTTTTATCCGCCCAAACGCGCGTCTATTTAGTCTCCCGTTTAACTACACATCCAGCAGGGATTCATTGCCCAACCAGTGAAGGTGGCGTGTGTGGATCCGATGGGAAAGTCACCGAGCGCCGCTTGCTGATTGGATACTCATAGGTTTGTATCTCTTGAAAATATTCTAGGAGGCCCTTCCGCAGACTTTGAGTCGCGGCAGATTGACGCGGTGGAATGATGCTTTGGACTCCGGTCTCTTCCCAATGGTTCGAATAAAATAAATTGCACAGTTCGAAGGCGACTTCCAACAAACAGCGCGCGTAGCGCAGTGGTTAACGCGTTGCACTCGTAACTCAAGTTCTGAGATCATGCAAAGATCATCGGTTCGATTCCGATCGTGCGCATTTGTTTCTTCTTTTTTTTCTCCCCTACAAATCTACAGCAAGGACCCCACGGACGTTTTTTTTAGTTCACGTTTGACTTGTGTCTTCTACATTCCCTACTTCTATTCCTATCATCATGGGACTTTTTTATTTTTGTACCGATGATTCCCTTCGCCCTGCATAGCCCACCCGATCAATTTCCGGTTGTCCTTAATGGCAACTGCCTGGCCATTCTATTATAATTTCACTATCCAAACTCGCAGATTAATTATCCTGGGCTTCTGACCTAGCATTCCGACAGAGTGTAGATGCAGCCCTGCCATTTTTTCGGCTTGCTGGTCCTTCTGCTGCTAAATTTAACCGACCACTCAGAACGCGTCCCCTGCCAGGGTGGTCCGTGCGCCTTTTCCCAGGCCGGAGATCGACTTAGTCAGCACAACGTCATCGCTAATCCATGCATTGCCGTCCAACTTTCTCTCTCCTGGATCCCTGATCTGATAGATAATTTCCTTGTATGAAACTCTCCTTTGGTGGTTGAGTTTGTTCTATATTATTGAATAAAAGCGCCAAACTTTGTCTCATAAGAGAGAGGAGTGACCTACAGTGTGTCTATTTCCTGTGCGTCCTCCGTTGCCTGATATTTCTACTATCATCTATCTACATTCCGCGTATAGAGAGCTCTTTGGTCCTCTCTAACAAGCAGAGAGCGCGCTCTTACTTTCCTTGATTATTTACTTTACTTCCATTATACACATTAGAATCGTGCACAATCGCACCCTGCTCACTCGCCGGCGATACCACTAAACCCCTCCCACAACACAACATACATCTACACACCCTCCTCAACCACAACCACAAAGCCAAACCCCAACCATGCCCCCACCCCCCCCAAAAAAATACACACTCTCCGTAACCGCCGGCCCCACCTACTCTCCAACAACCCACACCCCCGTCCCCATAAACACCCCCCTCCCAACCCGCATCACCACCCCGCAATCCACCACAACCCTCCACATCCGCATCCAAGACTACTCCGGCCTCCCCCCTTCCTCCCCGCGCACCTCCCCTTACTTCTCCCACCCCCAGCATACAAAAGACCAATACTCCATCGCCATCTCGTTCGTCCCGCGCGTCGATATCCCCGGCGACGAGCTCGTGTTTGGAAACGACTTTGACCATCCGATTAGAGACAATCTGCCGCCGGGGGCGGAGGCGGCGTTGAGGTTTGTCAAGTATTGGATTGATCCCGGGTTGGAGGGGGAGGTGGGGGTTGATAGGCCGTGGTTGTATGGGAGGGCGTTGGGGAGTTGGGGGGTTTTGAGGGTGGGGGGGGTGGTTGGGGATGATGGTTTGAGGGATGGGGATGGGGATGGGGATGGGGATGCGGGAGAGGAGGAGGTGGTTATTGAGGAAGGAGGCGAGGATGGTGGTGAGGAGGTACGGAGACAATTGGGGATTCCGGAGGATGCCCCTGGGAGGAGGAAGTTTTTTTTGGACCAGGGGAACCGGGAGAGGTTTGTGTTTGAGAAGGGGAGGAGGTATTTGGCGGATTTTTCGAATGGGTATTTGGGGTTTAGTGGTGTGTATCTATCTGCCCCCCTCCTATTCTAGTTTTGTTTTTGGTTTTTTGGGTTAATGGTTGGCTGATATGGCATGCGGTGTATGTAGACTTCACCCTCCGCCTCCCCGGCTTCCACATCCCGGTTGCGAAATATATCAATGAGAAAAATCACTCGCTTCGCTATGTGTTGAAGAATCGACGGACGGGGGACGTGTATTTTGTCGTGGTATTTACGTTGCTTTTGAATGAGGGGGGGCAGGATGAGGAGTCGAATGAAGATGAGGGGGAGGGCGAAGGCGGTGATGACGATTTTGATTACGGGTACGATGATGACGGGGTTGATTGAGCGATTGATATGAGGGTTGGATGATTCTGGTGTTGCATTGTCATCTTGACATATCTGGGTTTGGGAGCGAGGAGTAGAACTGGATCGGAAAATCCTATATATAAATCGATGGCGTTCTTTCTGCATTTTCTTGGTATATAAAACTTGTACAGTACACACACAAAGATAGATGAAAGGACCGGAATTGGGCAAATGCTTCAGAACATGTTTTTTGTCTATTTTGTACACCTTGACACCTCAACTCACTCTGTTTAGAACCCTTTTTTCCCCCTCCCCCTTTTGTTTAATCTGACCGAAAAAACAGCCTATCGTATCAGGGACTTATCGACCGAAAAAAGCTCACAATCTCTTCAACACATCCTCCAATACCTCTGTCGTCGACGCCTTGCCACCTAAATCAGGCGACAAGAACCGTCCCTCATCCAGGTTCGCATCAACGGCCTTATAAATGCTAGCCGCGGCCTTCTCCTCTCCCAAGAACTCCAACATCAGCGCAACACTGCGCAGCGTCGCGATGGGATTCGCGATGCCCTTGCCTTCAATATCCGGCGCGGAGCCGTGGCACGGCTCGCCAATGGCAAAGTTATCACCGACGTTTGCGCTAGGCACGAGACCCAGGGAGCCGACAAGAGCAGCGGCGCCATCGGAGAGGATGTCACCGTAGAGGTTGGGCGCGACGATGACGTCGTAGTAGGACGGTTGGCGGAAGAGTTTGTACACCATGGAGTCGACGATTTGCTCCTCGACCTCGACGGCGTTTGCGAAGCGGGGCTGGGCGAGGGCGCGGCGGGAGGTTTCGCGGAAGAGGCCGTCCGTGGCGCTGAGGACGTTGGATTTGTGGGTGATTGTTACCATTGGCTTGGTGCGGGCGTTCCCCGCGGCAGCAGCAGCGTCGGAGTTGCGGATATTTTGTCTGCGCAGGGCGATTTCGCCGGCCATGGTGGCGATGCGGAAGGAGGCCCGTTCGGAGATCCGCTTGATTGCCTCGGCTACCTTGCCCTGGGGGCTGTCGTAGGTTTTTTCCTCCTTGACGTAGAGGTCCTCTGTGTTTTCGCGGACAATGACGAGGTCGATGGGGGGCGCAATGGCGTTGGAACCCGCGGTGGTGCGGACGGGGCGCACGTTGGCGTACAGGTCCAGACGTTTACGGAGGGCCACAATGGGGGAGGAATAGCCGGCGACCTTGGTGCTGGGGGAGCTGGTGGGTTTGTGAATATATACTGTTCATTAGAGGCATAGCCAAGTGAATATCGGCATACCTGACAGCTCCAAACAGGGCACCGTCGCATTCTTGCTTCAGGGTCTCGACAGTCTTGTCGGGGAGGGCAGCGCCGGTCTTCTTGAAGGTGTCATAGCCTGCCTCGAGGTCGACGAAGGAGAACTTCAAGTTGAGCGACGCCGGGAGGGATTCGAGGAGACGGCGACCGGCCTATACATAACCATTTACTTAGTCAATTGAGCTAATTGATGGTATCGTTCGTTGATGTTGCATCGACCCGTTGAGTCATCCGAAGCAGGTGTAGCTTACCGGAATGACCTCTCTTCCGATGCCGTCACCGGGGATAAGACCTGGGCAAAGGTTAGCATTGCACAGCTACATGGTATCATAGGGGCAGGGAGGGCAATTGACCTATTCTAAGAGTCCTGGCAGCCATTGTTGCAGAGTTGCGCTGGTGAAGTCGAGTCTTGCGGTGTCCGAGACCAACAGTTTGCTGTTTTGGGCCCGGGCCGGTGTCGGAGCAGTTCCTGATTACCTAATTGCATTTCTTGGCGGTCCCTGGATCACATGACTGGATCCGGCGACATTGTTTTTCCGTGTTTACATTTTTCCCAATGCGGACATCCATGGATCTTGAATCAACCTGAAGCAGAACAAACAATCAGAAACTGAATCAAAGGCCACCAGCAATTGCATTGTGATGGCGCTGTTTCTTTGGCCTCCAGACCTGGGTCTTGGAGAACCCTGGGGAATGGCTTGCTTAAAAGTGGAGGAAATGCTTCCAGATGTCTTCCTTCATTGACTGCTGAAACACTCCAGCGGTTTCACATACAGGCCACATTTCACCGCATGAACACTGTCTCAAGCAAAAACCTACAAGGCAATGTAGGGGAGAAAGAAAAGAGACAACTGGGTGTCTTTATCTTCCTTCTGGTTCTCTGCGGCTGGCAGCATAGATGATTGGCTGCTATTTAGACATATGCAGCGGCCCGGGTTCAACGAGGAGATAATGCCTGCAGCCCGCGCCTCGAACTGGTACGAACCCTCTCGAAGTAGTGTAGAATGCGTACAAAAGAACGGCGTAGTGCAGCGGGAGTTTGATGTTGGACAGCAGCCGCCACGTTTCCCATGTGCCCAGCCCCTATTCTTGAATATTGGTTTTGCTGTGGTGGAAGCCGGCGCAAAAGAAAAGAAAAGAAACCAACCCGCGCTGTCGATCGGAACTGGAGAAATATTTATTAGCAGAACCCTGCGTGAATGCGATAGCTGGGTTTTCTCCTCGCCTTCTTATCTGATATCTGCTACAATGTATGGTGGGATAGACGCATAGATCTGGTCGAGGTGTTTACAATCACGTTACCCACGCGGGTTGAGGCTCTCTCTCCTTCCAGCCCGACGTTCTCCCGACAACCACAGACCTCACTCCATTGACTCCAACCACCACCACCACCACTGCAACCTCATTTGTCTCCCTGTTTCACAATTCCTCTCTCTCCCTCGCCATCTTCCCGGCCTCACTCAACTGCTCTGTTTATTTCTGCTTACTCCCTCTCCCTCTCCCTTTCTGCCTATCCTAACCGTGTCCTCTGCATGCTGTCTCCCCTCTGACTCTCTCTCCCCTCCCACCTCCAATTGCTCCCCTCCCCGCCGTCTCTGATTGCTCCCTCCTGATCCTCCATCATGTCGGACAGTCGGGCCCAGACTGGCGGTGTGCGGAGCCTGCTGGCCCGATTCGAGAACAACAACAATAACAATTCCTCGTCCACCTCGCCCCCCTCCCGCGGCCGCTCCCCTATCGACTCTACCCGTCCCGACTCCGTCCGTCCGCTCTCCAAAGTCAGAGCCAGCTTTGTTGCCGTTGAACGTACCGGCCAGCCTGGAGGTTCGCCCATGTG